GATATTGACTTTTCGATTTGACCCCACGTGTGTTTGATCCTTTCTGACTGTGGAACATTTCAATGAATGAGCGTCTTTTCTGTGTTGTTGTTTTTGTCAGTCGTCCAACTGTCAATATCCACTCAAAAAATATCAATTCCTTACACGTGCTTTTAATAATCTGAACTTTTATAAGTGGTGCGTTTTCAATGATGTTCAGTATACAATCAATACAAAAGGAATGATGGGCACAATAAGCAGAACATATTTTTATATATTTACAATAATCATGCGCTACGTCGCATAAACGCTTCCTTAAAATATTTTGCATACATATATAAATAATTGTTGTTTTCATTTTGAAGAAGGCGAGTTAGAGAATTTCTATCTTTACAGTCAAAACTACACATATCTTGTTCTTAAATCATTATATTGTGGGCAAATAAACATAAAATGAACCTCATCTTCTAAAATGTTCTTACAAAATGGACAAAATCTAAATTGTCTTGGGATAAGTTTTCTTCTACCTGTATTCTTCATGATATTTAATTCACCTAATCTTAAAAGTGATAAAAATCTTCTTAAATCTTTGTTATTTAAAGTTGACAAACATGATTCCATATTAAACGTTCACATGAATAGAACTCTAAATTAGAATGTTCATTTAACATAGAAAATATACACTGGATGTTACAATAATTAACTCGTTGAGAAAACTGCTTAACAAATAAGTCAGTGTTAACAATATTTTGAAAATCCCACGGGTAGCTGAAACCATAAATATAAATAAATTCATTCACAGCTGGTTGGACTGGGACACATAGTCACACCACTTTGTCCAACTTCACTGCACGTTGCTGTACCCGCAACTAGGTGTTTGCACGTATTCATGTGGCCACCATCTGGTCATATACCAACGGATTCGTGGGTTCTTTTAAGTGCACAGGGTTGTGTACTGTACACTAGGGGTTGTGATAACACTGAAAGAGTCTGCACACAAAGTTGACTCCAAGGTTTTAACACCCGGTCACAGGTGGGCTCGATCCCGGCACCTCAACCTCGGTGGATCAGTAGCCTGGCGCCTTAGCCAGCTCGCCCACCGCGTCCCTTTAAGCCCCATTTTGAGCAAAATTTGGATAAAATATTATTTTTTCTTTGTAAACCTATAACTGTCAGAAATTAAACATAAATCATCAGCATAGAATAATAAAAAGAGCTCTAAAAATTCTGCTCCAACAAAAATACCTGTTTCGTCAGACGAAGTAAGATCCTCTTCAAGTTGTTTTACAAACATACTGAATAATAATGAACTGAGTTTACATCCTTGGCGTACACCACCCAAGGAATTGAAATATTCTAATACACTAGAATTTGATAGTTTTACAACTGAAATTGATTTAATGTACATATCACGCACTATTGAAAGCATTTTACCCCGAATATTGTTTTGAGAAAAAAACATACCATAATAGATCTCTATTTACACCATCAAATCAACAAATAAACAATAGACCCTTAGACTTAGACTAGTATTTTTTAATTTCAGCCTGTAGGGTAAAAACATTATTGAATAGCAGTGCTGTGCGAAAAGTAAACTATTTTAACGTCTTGTCTTATTTACCTGTTTGGGGTCAATTCATAACACCTTAAACAATACAATTGTCAGTGAAAAGGTTTACATTTTCACAAGTCCATGATTTGTTTATAGTCACCACTGGGTCATGGGTCGAAAGTAGTTCCTATGTAAATTAGCCAAATCTTAATGAGGTCAGGTCTGCTGTCTTGTCCTTGGTTTTCATTGGCTGATGATGTGCAGCATCTCGATTGGATTTTGAAGTTAGTTGCATTTGAAAAGTGTGAAGTTTGTTCACTTGCTGTCTTTCTCCCAACCTGGCAAGGGGGGTCTGAAAGACATGGTTGGAGGATTGTGACTTTGGTGAATTACAGGTTAGTTCCACTTGGTTTTATATAAGAGGAATGAACTACAAAAATATGTTAACTTGTTGAAAGGTTAATTCAGTATTTATTGTAACTGAATTTATGTATTTGGTGGAGGTACATTTTGACTTAGGGTTAGAAGTTGTTGGTGTCAATAATTTCACTTACGATTGATTAATGTTTGAGTCCAAACAGATTGTACGTTTACTTTACTGGTGAGAATTAGCATTTCCATGCTAATTAAGGCATACATATTTTAGTTCCTTGGTTGGTGTTTTGTTGGTGCCTCACAACAGTTTGAAACAAGTTGTCCCATAGATGGTGAGACACGTTGATGTTCCATTGTTGTATTGAAGATGCCATATGTGTTCCATAATTCCTAAGGATCTCAATATGAAACTGAACCATTGATTTTGTGATGTCTATTTGTTTTGAGTTCTTTTCATATGTTCAGTGGTAGTACTGCAATTGTTAATTATCTGAACAATGTGCAATGACATGATTGTGATAAAATAGATATTTTGATGAACTATATATTCATATAGATGTAGATTATTTCAGACTTGTAACTGTATACACAAACTACAGCAATAAATCCGGACTACAGCCTCAACGGAGTTGTGTTGTTGAGAAAGAGCCATTCCCGTTACAAATATGGAGCCCCAAGTGAGGAATGTTGTGAGCTGTGAGCACCTTGTCAACCACCCTGGACCACCGCTTCAGAATCACCATGTGAACTACCACCAGAGACTGTGAGACTGACCATGAACATAATGTGAATGCCATACGTATTCCCTTTAATTCAGTTGTACTTCTGGATACAATCTTTGGGAGAGAGACAGTGCGTTTCCTGGCTACCGACATGTTATGCCTGTGAGCTATTTATTGCTCCTGACTGTTTCAGGCATGTAGCCTTGCATTGAATTTTATACATGTATTTGTGATATGCTGTATGCGATTTGCTGAACTTGTGATGTATTGTATTATGAGGCTGTATGTATTGATGTGTTTTTGCCTTTGATTTGCTATATTTTAGTTGTTGTCATGTGAAACCTGTGAGACTCATTTAAGACAACAATCCAGAATAAGACTGACTGACTGACTGAGTTTGGTTTTACGCCGCTTTTATCAATATTCCAGCAACGGCTGGGGACACCAGAAATGGGCTTCACACATTGTACCCATGTGGGGATTCGAACCCGGGTCTTTGGCGTGACGAGCCAACGCTTTAACCACAAGGCTACCCCACCGCCCCTCCAGACTAAGACACTACTTTGACATGCTTGACTGATTTGCACCATACATTATTCTCTACCCTGCCACTTGTTAGTACTTCTAGTATGTAGACAAGGTTGACACTCAAGATGTAGGTTAAAGTAACAATTAGACTTAGTTTTTGGGTAACTTCATGGGGTTTAGTATTTATTCTGGTCTTCCTTGCTGCAATATTTTGGCTAGGGTCTGGTGTGTGATCTAGAAACATGGCATTAATGGAAGAGGCAAATGTTAAAATGCTAGTAAAAACTATAAAGGAAATGGGTGTTAAGCCTGAGGCTGATAATCCTGATGTGTTTAAACGTTGGATGACAGGTGATCTACATATCTCAGGGAGAGTCTCCTGCTCCATCATCATCAGTAGCCCCTTCTATCACTGTTAACCAGCCTCCTAAGATCTCGACTTTTATGTGTGAGGCGGGCAAGGGTGAGGTATCATATGATGTTTGGCGGTATGAAGTTGATCGGTTATTACATGACAATGAGCATTCTCCTTCTGTACTTAAGAATGCTATCATTCAGTCGCTGAAAGGGAAAGCGAGTAACATCATGCTTTGTATGAGTACAGATTCCATTGTGGATGGGCTGTTGTCAAAGGTTCACAGTATATACGGGACTGTACAACAGAAAACCTCTTTGGTTGTTGCCTTTTAGAGCGCAAAACAGAAGGAGGGAGAGTCTGTTCAGGAATGGGGTTGTCGTGTGAAAGAGCTGTATGCTAGAACCATTGTGGCTGGTGCATTGCATAAGAGTCAAGAAGCACTATGCTCTGTATTTTGGGAAGGTATACGAGGTTTGTGTTCCCTGTTGTTATCTACAGGCTGTTAATGTGAAGAAGCAGACAGGGGTCTATGGATTAACCTCTGCTGATGTGTTTATGTGGATTAACCTCTGCTGATGTGTTTATGTGGATTAACCTCTGCTGATGTGTTTATGTGGATTAACCTCTGCTGATGTGTTTATGTGGATTAACCTCTGCTGATGTGTTTATGTGGATTAACCTCTGCTGATGTGTTTATACGGATTGACTTCAGTATGTTCCTTGAGTTTTTCTGGGGTTGCAAAGATATAAATAGTCTTGACCACTTGGTGATACTCAGCTACAAGGTTTCCACGCCGGGTTTACGTGAAGCATGATAAAGTCAGTCCTTGAGATAATGTAACATGATTCTACTGAACTGTCAGATATTTGTGTTGAATGTAATAGGTTGTTGTACTGTAACTCAAGTCCACCCGTTGTTCCGTGACGATAGTATTCCTGCACCAAGCCTGGGCCTGGTTATACGACATACTATCACAGATATCTTCCACATCTGAGAATCCCGTTAAGATTTTCCCTGTGACAAATGACAAAAACTTAACAATATTCTCGTATAAGCTTGAAATACTTTAATGTTGAAGTGTTGATCTATATATACCCCTATATCTCTCACGAAATGACATGTTGAAAATCTTTTGTTACATCTAGCATACTTTCATACTTTGAGCGAATGATTCGAAGCGGACTTCGTACTTTTGTGTCAGTTGTTTGGTTAAAACATGGTATTAGCAAACTAGTTGTAATGACATTACTTTGAATATTTACATAAACGTAATACTAACTCAACACCATCTATTTCGGTCCGTTTCCTACCAACTTATTGTACAGAGGTTCAATAGCGCGTCCTAAGTACACTTGACTTGTACCAACAAGCCCGCACATATCGATGACGTTCGGAGATATCTGTAACCACCCATATACCCAATATCGGCTTCATCGCATAAATCCACAGAGGCCACCCTAGTATAGTTTCAGTCATATGTTGACAATGGCAGGACGTACAATGTACCTTCGGATGTTTCTGGCCTTCGTCACAGCGATGACCATCTTCCTCGGCGGCCATTGGAGTACAGTGGGTACGTCAACACACACGAACACTACAGTTCTATTTGTGGAATTTGAGGCCACTGAAAACCTTGGGTATTTTTATCCTTTTGGCTTCGTAATTTAACAGTACAAACACTGTGTGTTTATCAAATGAAAACGCTTATTCATTTATGTGTACTGCGTGCCGTGAAGAGGAGGGACATATATGACGCGAGGCATTTAATGGATCGTTAATATTTATACTTTCCTTGATTTGAAATGACTATTTTGTACTCAAAACAAAGGCAAAGATATTTATTGAACTAAAGGCCTTATGCCCATATACATTGGAGTTATACATATACATCATAAATATGTTGCAATAAGTAGTAATTAGTGATCCAAACAACTAATCGTGTTACATGCAGTAACTTGCGTACAAGTAGTGAAATACGATAGGTCTACAAAACGTTATATCAGATTGTTACGTTTAATAAGAGCATAATTAATATAGAACGACAGCTTGTTTATTACGTGCTGGTCAGTTGATGAAGAAAGCTAGTTTTAAAGCTAATGAAGGTGGCTCACATAGATAATATTCAGCTGTATATTTCGTACGGAAATCTTTATAAAAAAAGACATATAAAATGAATTTCATTTTCAACATCTAAAATTACACAGACGGCACATTCTCTTGCCTCTTTCAATATAAAACGTCTCCCTTCGTTTATCATTCCTCACAAAAGAATGAAACTGCAATACCGCATAGTTTTTATATGCATAACACGTGTTATTTGGTGGACGATTGGTTTTATACGACATAGATTATACATATTAACCCCTAGACATTACATTGGCATAATTATATACTGAAAGTAATTAGTCCTGACACAAACTGTCATTTTGACTGACAAGTTTTGTGCTCTGACCACCTTGCCCCATGCCCAGTTTCATACACATCGTATTAAGGAATGCTTGTGAGTTTGAAAACTGCACTTTCTGAGTTTATCAGATAGAAGCACACTTTCTCTATGTTTGTTTCAAGGCCCCCGAGACCTCCTGACCCCACCGGTGCCTGGTGTTACCGCAGGTGAAACAGCACATCCAGGTAACAGCAATTAACTTATGGCCTCTGTCTATGTCATCTGACGGTGCTAGCATGTGATTTGTTTATTTGTACTGGGGAAACTATCAGTATGTGTAATTATCCTATTATGTTTATATAGTTTCAACAGCTGTGTGATTCCAATGCGGGACCAGCAATATACTATAGGACCTGTTCTAACCCTGGGTCCCAATGTGGGACCAGCAATATACTTTAGGACCTGTTCTAACCCTGGGTCCCAATGTTGGACCAGCAATATACTATGGGACCTGTTCTAACCCGGGGTGCCACGGCGGGATCAGCAATAGACTATAGGACCTGTTCTAACCCTGGGTGCAAAGGCGGGACCAGCAATAGACTATAGGACCTGTTCTAACCCTAGGTGCCACGGCAGGACCAGCAATATACTATAGGACCTGTTCTAACCCCTGGTCCCAAGGCGGGACCAGCAATAGACTATAGGACCTGTTCTAACCCGGGGTCCCAAGGCGGGACCAGCAATAGACCATAGGACCTGTTCTAACCCTGGGTGCCACGGCAGGACCAGCAATAGACTATAGGACCTGTTCTAACCCTGGGTCCCAATGTGGGACCAGCAATATACTTTAGGACCTGTTCTAACCCTGGGTCCCAATGTTGGACCAGCAATATACTATGGGACCTGTTCTAACCCGGGGTCCTCATGAGGGACCAGCAGTAGACTATATATAGGACCTGTTCTAACCCGGGTTGCCACGGCGGGAACAGCAATAGACTATAGGACCTGTTCTAACCCTGGGTCTCAATGCGGCACCAGCAGTAGACTATATATAGCACCTGTTCTAACTCGGGGTGCCACGGCGGGAACAGCAATAGACTATAGGACCTGTTCTAACCCTGGGTCCCAATGAGGGACCAGCAATAGACTATAGGACCTGTTCTAACCCTGGATGCCACGGAGGGACCAGCAATAGACTATAGGACCTGTTCTAACCCGGGGTCCCAATGAGGGACCAGCAGTAGACTATATATAGGACCTGTTCTAACCCTGGGTGCCACGGCGGGACCAGCAATAGATTATAGGACCTGTTCTAACCCGGGTCCCAAGGCGGGACCAGCAATAGACTATAGGACCTGTTCTAACCCTGGGTGCCAAGGCGGGATCAGCAATAGACTATAGGACCTGTTCTAACCCTGGGTCCCAATGCGGGACAAGCAATAGGCTATAGGACCTGTTCTAAACCTGGGTGCCACGGCGGGACCAGCAGTAGACTATATATAGGACCTGTTCTATCCCGGGGTCCTACGGCGTAACAAACTATATATACGAGATTTAATGGAAGCCAGATATGTACATGTATATACAATCAATGTACATATCTGGCTTTCTGTAAATCTGGTATATATAGTTTGTTTTCTGCATTTGTCTTAAATCACCTGAAGAAGGGACAAAAAGTAGCCCAGAAAAGTTGTGATATACAATAAACAAGAAGTTGCCATCCATATGCTCGTCTTATGTATTCACCAACTTCTCAATGCCTCTCAAGAATCTCATCGGATATGTTTAGATGTTTCTCTGGTACGATCCACAGCTACAGCTACAGCTACCGCTACAAAGGTCGTTCTCCTGGCTTACATGAGGAGTGGATCAAGCCTCACAGGCGATGTCGTACAACAGAGCCCGGATGTATTCTACATGTTTGAACCGTTATACTCTATGCAGAAACAGTTATCTCACTATTTTGACATCAACAACAAACGGTGAGTGGCAGTTGAGTGGTCACATGGTTTGGGAACAGTCGTAAAGTTTTGCTGTCTCTTTCCTAGACGTTCTATGTGACCTAACTACATGTCCCAGCAGCAGTGTGTAGCAGGAACTAAATGTGTCAATAGTATGGTATACCATGAGCTACATGTGTCAATAGTATGGTATACCATGAACTACAAGTGTCAATAGTATGGTACACCATGAACTACAAGTGTCAATAGTATGGTATACCATGAACTACAAGTGTCAATAGTATGGTATACCATGAACTACAAGTGTCAATAGTATGGTATACCATGAACTACAAGTGACAATAGTATGACATACCATGAACTACATGTGTCAATAGTATGGCATACCATGAGCTACAAGTATCAATAGTATGGTATACCATGAACTACAAGTGTCAATAGTATGGTATACCATGAACTACAAGTATCAATAGTATGGTATACCATGAACTACAAGTATCAATAGTATGGTATACCATGAGCTACATGTGTCAATAGTATGGTATACCATGAACTACAAGTGTCAATAGTATGATATACCATGAACTACAAGTGACAATAGTATGGCATACCATGAATTACATGTTTCAATAGTATGGCATACCATGAGCTACAAGTGTCAATAGTAAGGCATACCATGAACTACAAGTATCAATTGTATGGCATACCATGAACTACAAGTGTCAATAGTATGGTATGTCATGAACTACAAGTATCAATAGTATGGTGTACCATGAACTACAAGTGTCAATAGTATGGTATACCATGAACTACAAGTGTCAACAGTGTGGTATACAATGAACTACAAATGTCAATAGTATGGTATACCATGAGCTACAAGTGTCAATAGTATGGCATACCATGAACTACAAGTGTCAATAGTATGGTATACCATGAACTACAAGTGTCAATAGTATGGTATACCATGAACTACAAGTGTCAATAGTATGGTATACCATGAACTACAAGTGTCAATAACTATGGTATACCATGAACTACAAGTGTCAATAACTATGGTTTACCATGAACTACAAGTGTCAATAACTATGGTATACCATGAACTACAAGTGTCAATAACTATGGTATACCATGACCTACAAGCCATGAACTACAAAGGTATACAATGAGTATGTCAATACCATGGTATACCATGACCTACAAGTGTCAATAGTATGGTATACCATGAACTACAAGTGACAATAGTATGGTATACCATGAACTACAAGTGACAATAGTATGGTATACCATGAGCTTCATGTGTCAATTCTATGATATACCATGAGCTACATGTGACAATAGTATGGTATACCATGAGCTGTAAGTGTCAAAGGTATGGTACACCATGAGCTACAAGTGTCAATAGTATGTCATACCATGAACTGCAAGTGTCAATAGTATGGTATACCATGAACTACAAGTGTCAAAAGTATGTCATACCATGAGCTGCAAGTGTCAATAGTATGGTATACTATGAGGTGCAAGTGTCAATAGTATGTCATACCATGAGCTGCAAGTGTCAATAGTATGGTATGTCATGAGCTGCAAGTGTCAATAGTATGGTATACCCCGAGCTACATGTGTCAATAGCATGGTATACCATGAGCTACAAGTGTCAATAGTATGGTATACTATGAGGTGTAAGTGTCAACAGTATGGAATACCATGAGCTACATGTGTCAACAGTATGGTATACCATGAGCTACATGTGTCAATAGCATGGTATACCCCGAGCTACATGTGTGAATAGCATGGTATACCATGAGCTACAAGTGTCAAAAGTGTGGTATACCATGAGCTATAAGTGTCAATAGTATGGTATACTATGAGGTGTAAGTGTCAACAGTATGGAATACCATGAGCTACATGTGTCAACAGTATGGTATACCATGAGCTACATGTGTCAATAGTATGGTTTACCATGAGCTACATGTGTCAATAGTATGGTTTACCATGAGCTACATGTGTGAATAGTATGGTATATCATGAGCTACATGTGTGAAAAGTGGGTTAAGCTACATGTGTGAATAGTTGGGTATGCCGCGAGGTATATGCCTCATTTGTGGGGTTTACCATGAGCTATGTACGTCCATAGTGGTTTATATGTAGACAGACCGGCCGTTTGCGTTTTCTACAAGATGTCGAGACACTAACAGGCATCCGTTAGCACCCACAATATGTCACTATATCATCAGCGATAATATACGATGCCGAGGCAGGAGACGGGACTTGGGTGCACAGTATGTAACACACATTCGTGTGAGGCACGGTGGTAATATGAAGTCACCTTGAGATCAGTACTTACTCTACACAGAACAAAGACCATCTGATGTCGCGGACTGGAGTCATTGCTGCCAGGTTGCCGGTACTGACTGAGGTCTGTTGACAAGTGAGAGCTCGGAACTCTCATTTGACGTCAAACATGACCCCACAGGTGACCTGGCAGGACAAACTGTAGATTGTGCGTGCGCACGTGCGTGCGTGAGTGAGTGAGTGAGTGCACCAAAATATTCCGCAATATCATAAAATCGAGCTCTTTTTTAACATGTCCAATGAAAGCGTCACAGCAGTGGTTCATCTGTGACAACGGGTTGCACTCCATGATTTCTGGTTTCAGGTTTAACTCTAAAAAAAGAAAGAGACACCAACACATTCTGGAATCGTTACTGACCTGCAACCTGACATCCCTGGACTATGTGACCCTCACTCAGCATCACCTGAAGAACAGCTTCAGCACCAACGACTACTACAACTGCACCAGGAATGTGGAATCGATATCCGGTTTACACGAATGTCTCGAACCCGTCTTGTCAAACTGTGCCAAGTCAAGGGTTGTATTTGCCAAAGTCATCCGCACAAACATGGTCGATATGTATCACCTCCTGTCCAAATATCCACAGTTTAAGGTCATTCATCTTCTTCGGGACCCCAGAGGCCTTCTGGCTTCACAAGATAACGTCGGGCATCTACCTGATGGTATTACTGCTTCAGCAGAGGCAACCTGTAACCAAATATATTCCGATGTTCAGAAGTCTATCAGATATAAGAAGAGGTTCCCTGGTCGCGTATTAAGTGTGCGTTACGAGGACATTGCACTCCACCCACTTCATATGTCTAAACAAGTCTACGATTTCCTGGGAATAGATCTTACAACCAAAATAAAAAACTACATCTTGGATATGACAGGTAACAGTGTAACAAATTGTGGGGCAAGGTGCATCAGAAAAAACTCTACCTTCACAGTGTTCAAGTGGCGGAGGCATTTATCGCAATTTACAGTATCAAAAATTGATCAAAGCTGCTCAAAACTGTACCGGAAGGTTGGATACTTACCACGGGTACACCTTTACAATTCATTCGGGGCAACCCTTGTTGACATGCCAGAGGAACTAACTGAGGTTTAGGAATTAAAAAGAAACGAGATCCATTTCGATTTAATATTCTACGTGGCAGTAGAAAATACGTGTGTTGATTGTATATGTTTCTATGTGTAGCCAGCCACCACAAATTGCTTGAAAATTGAATGTTTACTGACATGTTTCGGTTATCAGTCACGGGATTTACTGCAAGAAACGCCAGATGGTAATATTTGGGTTGGTTGTGGCTGATATTGTACTATAAATAAACTGTTTCCTGTGAAAATGTTCTGTTTATGTGCTTGCTTGTGTCTTTACTTCATACAACCCTTTTGTAATGGTAACATTAAATTGTTTGGTTGTAATTTTGAAGTTAGCAATGAGAGAATCTATCAACACATCAAAGTATACCTCCAAACGTCACACCCAGGACAGTAAACATTCACCATGTCTGTACCGAATTTAAGTATCGCCTTGTACGCAAACAAATCTTGTGCTTGAGTAAGTTATCAAAGATAACGTATTTTTCTGACAAGGCGGGTCATGCTGAGCCCAATATCACTAAAATCAGACAGTTTGCTTCGTGACGATACCCTCGACATGAAGACACTCTTGTAGGGGTCAACTTTCAGATCAGTGTCGATGCTTCGAAATTCTCAGTAGGAGTAAACGAAGCGCGTTGTATATAGCTTCTTTTTGGCCAAAATGTGAAGCCGCGGTAGTATCTGCAGGTCTATTATAAACTGTAGAGTCGAATATAGTTATTGACTTGTGTTCTACGTAAATGAACGTTTTTTATGCATATTATGTCTATTAACCTCACCTCCGCAACAACCAACGCCGTAGAAACACGCTGCTTCAACTCGGGTACGCTGTGACGACCTCCACCATTTTGAGGTTTGTCGAAAATAAGATGTCTGAGGTAACCCAAATCTGTTCGCAATTATAATACCAGAGAGCGAGAGACACACGACTTGCTACAGTAAGAATGTGAAACAGCGGCATACATATTACGTGATGAGAGACGGTAAAACAATGTGTGTATGTACAAGCAGGCAGTTATACATGTATAAAATAAACGATCACTTGATACGGATCTTACCAGCATCATCCGTATCTTTCCATAAACGTTCTTGTCAGGTTTCCATATCGTTCATTATAATCCTGCTTATTTGTACAGATAACTTTAGCATTTAAACTAATAGTGGTATTTAAAACATGCTGCATATTTAGATAAATAAGAAAACGTGTTTAGGCATTTTTCTACACCGCCGTCTCACTATACATAACCCTTGTCATACAATAGGAGGCAGGGGCCATCTATTTATAGCACTTGCAATTTAAAAAGTACATGCACATCTTTGTCAAGACATCTCTCATTCAGCGGTATTTTCATGTTAATACTTGCATCAGCTGCCTAACGTCCCTCTTCTGTGTATCTAGCACTACATTCTACTCCTCACGTACCATCCTCTAACTCGGTAGGAAGCTGGGTCTTTCTACACACACCGAGTTTACCTTTTTCCTTCAAAACATCCATTACCTATTTCCTTGCACACATTGGAATCTATACACAGCACATACAGAGACATGAACAACTCACAGTTGTTCATTTTAGACGTCCTTCAGTTTCAAGAAGTAATGCTTTCTTTGTATGTGATGATACGGAGTTGGATAGAACCGATTGTTATAATTATTTAGGTTTAAAAGTACTTTAAACAGAGCATTTGGATTTTTTTTCGAACGGCAAAATCTGTAGCTAATTCCGCTAGTGGGGCACTTGGGTTGTCAATTACTAAGTATAACTTGTTAGGAGGTACTCCAAGTTGTTTTGTTCTATGGTTTGGTCTACCATTAATTACGGTGTATCGATATGGGGCACTTATAAATACATTTTCATGTATAGCGAACCAAAACATGAGTCTCATTAACCAATTCAGACAATGACCTACTTTTCAGCGGATCCGAATTTTCTCGTGTGAAAGTGAAAAGAGACACTACAAACAAATATGGTTACACGAATTTCCAATTCCTTGTTTCGTAAGAAAATGATATGTACAAATAAATTTCAATTTTATACTTTAAAAAATCGTATTCCTATATTTCATAACGAGGTTTAGGCAGCATGTCGTTAACTAAGACGTCACAGACTGCCCCTGTTTGAAAATGTCGTGCAATGATTCACAATTCATCTGGCTCACTGGTTACACCAGTTATGTGTTCTTTGCGCTTATTGAATATCTTTTTGTAACCGACAATGTGATTGATATAATACTAAGTATGTAAAGACCGCCAAACTTTACTAGCGGCTGAGCCTCGTTTTTGAGATTTCCACGATTTCCAGATTTCCGTTTGCCAGGGCACGCTGTACGATAGAACACGCTGCAGGACGTGTTTGCAATGATTAGAAGGAGCGTAGTGTTGCAATATACAAGTGATTAGATGCATCAAATAATACTGTCAGTGATTAATTTTTATATATCCAGTTGAATGAGTTGGTCTCAAAATTCTGGACCGGTTATTGCACTAAGTTGCGCAATAGGACTGAACCCAGTTAGAAGGAAAGGAGACTGTTGTGTAATCAATGTTTTGACTTATGCTGTACCAAACCGTGCAATGGGTTTTTTCTGGGTTAACGTAAATATGCACCAACTAATGCTATTAGTGGTGACATAGGTTGGTGCCCACCCATTGTTATATGATGTATCTACACAGCAAAAATAACTTAGTTTCCATTCTTGCGGAAACCTAATGGATACTGGGTAATGTAGGTTTCCGCTAGGTTTCAGTATCCGGAAACAGACAATGCGAGTTTCCGCATAGTTTACAAAACTGAAACTAACAAATCTAGGTTTCCGTCAGGTTTCTACGGCTGAAACTGTCTTTATGAGTTTCCATTTAGTTTCAGGTCGCTGAAACATTCATAGCAAAATGACTTAGTTTCCGTTGTTGCGGAAACCTATTGGATACTGGGTAATGTAGGTTTCTAACGAGCGTTCATTTACCAGGAGTTGCTCTAAGCTATCTATAGGCCCTGTATTAAACTGAAACATACGCTATGACTGTCGGGAGCATCTCACCGACTTCCATCCCTGAAAGTTACAGTGATTATCACAACTGTCAACACCCACTGAAACATTTAGAGTGAATGTATATATGTTCTGTCAACATTGTAACGGCACCGCAGTTCTCGGGTAAACAACTAAGGAATTCATCTAGATTACTTAGACAATTTAGATCCAATCCGTTAAGTTAAGTTTTTGTTTGGAGTATTGTATCTGCTGTTTTAAAGAAACGGAATTGGAATTTTAGAGTGCACGTTGAATTTTCTTATCTTGGGCTCCAATATTTTAATAGCATACATGTTAAGTATCATCTTCCCGTTTTAACTCTTCCTGGAAAAATCCTATTTCTAATGGAAATGGTACAACGAGCAATGGAGGTGGTAAGTTAAGAACATATGCTACCTTTAAAGATGAATATCATCCTGAATTTTATTTAGCCACATGCCCCTCTCTTATAGCACTTTTTAGGTGTGGTGTTGCTCCTCTAAGAGTTGAAACTGGACCATATAATTGTACGCCTCTAAAGGAAAGAACATGTTTTTACTGTAAAGATTTTATTGAAGATGAATGTCATGTTTTGCTGCACTGCCCACTTTAATCTTTGAAAGAGATGTCATGTTTTGTAAATGTGACCAGCTTACTGTTATTTTTATGTCATGCAGTGACCTTGATCAGATTAGATTTTTACTGTTCAATCCACAAGCGTCTTTTAATCCATCCAAAACCTGCTTTCTTATCTAACGGCGACGACATGCCCTTTTGTATTCTTAACTTGGTATTGTAAATATGTATTTTACATCCTATATTCCTTTAACTTTGTATTTTTATGTTATATATTCTCTCATAAGTCTGTAAATATTGGCTCAAAGTTTTTATTTCGCAAGGCAAAAAAGACACAACAATTTGTGTAGTAATGTTCTAACTGTATTCCCATCACACACTTGCTTACAACAAAAATAGTTGATGACTGAATACCTTGTGCGTTCGGAAATTAACAGTGAATTGCTAATAATACACATCCCACACATTTAGCATGAAAATATACTTAAAGTTCTAAACTATCAAATTATGTCTTGTACTTGACATACATAGCTAATGCATCCACACTGTTGCTGAATACTGACAATACTACCCAGACACTGTTGCTGAATACTGGCAATACTACCCAGACACTGTTGCTGAATACTGATAATACTACCCAGACACTGTTGCTGAATACTGATAATACTACCCAGACACTGTTGCTGAATACTGATAATACTACCTAGACACTGTTGCTGAATACTGATAATACTACCCAGACACTGTTGCTGAATACTGATAATACTACCCAGACACTATATACTGTTGCTGAATACTGATAATACTACCCAGACACTGTTGCTGAATACTGATAATACTACCCAGACACTGTTGCTGAGATAATACACCTAGACACTGTTGCTGAATACTGATAATACTACCCAGACACTGTTGCTGAATACTGATAATACTACCCAGACACTGTTGCTGAATACTGATAATACTACCCAGACACTGTTGCTGAATACTGATAATACTACCTAGACACTGTTGCTGAATACTGAAATACTACCTAGACACTGTTGCTGAATACTGATAATACCCAGACACTGTTGCTGAATACTGATAATACTACCCAGACACTGTTGCTGAATACTGATAATACTACCTAGACACTGTTGCTGAATACTGATAATACTACCTAGACACTGTTGCTGAATACTGATAATACTACCCAGACACT